TATATATATATATATATATAATTATTGCAGAACAGAATCTAAGCCTTGATGTTTAATCTTTCACAGATCTCACCAGGGTTCTTGGTGCAGTGGGATTAATATATATGACATGACAGTGAGAGATCTGTAATATCTATAGTCTTGCTTTGTATTCTGTTATTTGATAATGATTCACTCTGTCAGCTGAGGGAGCCAACATATGGTTGTATGTCATACATTTGATGGCCATAAAAACAGTAAACTTTCCATGAGTGGAAGTGCATTCAGTCTTTCATGGCCTTGTAAAATATTCTAGAGCAGTGATTCTCAACCAGGGTGGTGCAGCATGCCTGGAGTCTTTCAGGGGTGCCTCAGGATGCCACACAATGTTAGCACTGTTAAGCGTGGAAACATATTTCACAAGAAAAATGCCATAGTCAAAAAATGAGTGAAAACTCAGACCTGGGGTTTTCCAAGAGGTGTCTCGAGTCTACTGAGGGGTGGCTTGAACCTGAAAAGATCAAAAACCACTGTTCTGGGGGTTTAGCAACTACTCTCACTTGAAAATAATTACGCAATGATGGTTAAAGAACCAAGAATGCATGTTAGCATAATGAACATAATGTTCACATTTTATAGCATATGAACATATAAGCCACATGGAACCAGTTTCTTAAAAACTAGTCTAGTTATTTTGGGTTGTAGTTATTAATTTGTGGGTTACCTTTAGCATATTTAGACTTTTTTCCTGAAAATCTGGTACTTAAATACCTATCATTCATTATGCACATACAGTGCATAGTATATTCTTTTTCAAGAAAATAACATTTTAAAATTCGTATTTAAAGTATAATTGTTTTCACTCTGGATAAGGGACTGTCCAATTGCATTGGCAGTCAATGGATGAGGCAGGCATATACGATTGTAGTATTAAAACTAAACCTACCCTGCACTCTTTGCAAATCCTAACTGGCTTGTGTGTATCCATGCATGCAATCGGTGCTGCTGTGTGCACTTAGCTGAAGAAAAAACTAAGGTGCCGATGTGAAAATCTGGGAGCCTGTATTAGTTAAGTGTCACATTCTTCTTCTTAACTTACTTCAACCGTAGATAAACATGCTGTTGACATTCAGAGCATGCCTGTATCATTAAAGCACCATGCCAGGGCCTCACTCATCACACTCACACAGATGTAATGGAGCCATCATAGTATATCACTGGCTATGCCCCAATGCACTCGCTCTCTTGGGAGTAGCTGTATGCACACATCCAGGCTAAGTACAAACAGTCAAAAAGCCAGAGACTAAATCTGTTCAATCTTTGCAGGTTAGTCTACACTACATGGACTGAGCCAAGAAGCAAGTAAACAGACATTCACTTTTGATTCTGGAAATTCAGCCACATGGCTTCAGTCGCTCAGGCCAGAAGCTGGGGAGCACTAGAGCACAGCTCCCAGCCTGCCAACAACTGCCAAAGGGAAGGGAGGGAAGATGGGAGAGAAACCTTCCAAGGCTTCCCCACCCTCCCCACTCAAGGTGGGGAGAGGTGTGGCCAGGCCCTGTCCTGAAGCCAGCATGTTGAGGTAGGGGGGTTTTAAACCCTCTCCCTGGCCCACATGGGACCCCAGCCTAGATTCCCCAGGGAGGCAGGGGTGTCCCTGCCAGGCTTATCCCTGCTCCTGGTCCAGGCCACCAAGCTGAGGCAGGGGAAGGGGAATTTAAACCCTCTCCCTGGCCCACACAGGACCCCAGCCAGGGTGTGCTTGGGAGGCAGGGGTAGCCCCTTCCAGGCTTCTACTCCCTTGCTCCTTGCTCAGGGAGGAGGAGACAATCCCTTACAGGCTTTTGTCCCCCCCACTCCCTGCTTGAGAAGGGAGTCCCTGCCAGGCTTTTGCCCCCTTGCCCTCCCCCCACTCGAGCAGGTTGCCTGGCCAGGCCCCAGCCCAGGGCCAGCACTGAGGTGGTGGGGGAAGTTTAAGTGCATATTGGGATGCTGGGGTCTGTGAGTTAACTTGAGCCAGGAAGGGTTCTGGGACAGAAGTTCCATAAACAGGTTTAACCTAAATTGGTTCAGTCTGATACTATACCCAACCAGGGTTATCTTAAATCAGCTTCAGCCATTTTGAAAGCAGTTTAAGTACACTGAACTTCTGTTTTGTTACAGATTTAAACCAGTTTCTGATAACTTAAACTGGTTTATGTGCAACTTCTGTCCCTAGCCCGTGTGCTATTTTATGAAGGCTACATTACATCCATTTTGGGGGGTAGAGTGGGAATGAGTCCTTTCAGTGCAGTACTCCCTGCTTTTGTTCCTTTGAAAGCACAGATGTGACCTTAGGTAAAGTTGTACTAAGGTAAAACTCCTTTTTGTCTTTAGGTGACTGAAAACTTGTTTCTGCACTTAAATATACTCACTTTCACATTACATATATTGTCCAGTTGGGTATTCTGTATGTGTGTCTACATGTACACTAACCAAGGACTTATCCACACTGCCTTCATGCCAAGCTTCAGAACATTGCCCAGAAGTAGAAGTATGTTTCATCTACTCCCATGTTGGACACACTGAGCTGTAGAAATGAGGGAGTATAGACACTTCAGGACCTGCTGAGCACATTCTCAGAGCCCTTCACAGGTTCTTGGTCTCAGGTCTTCAGACCTATTCTTAAGTGGCTACATTGCCTAATTTGGAGGAAAAGATGTGTGGGATATGCTTCTTGGCAATATAGAGGTTGTGCAAATTGCCCTTAGTCTACAAAAAAAAAATCAGAGATGGTGCTTCCCTTTGTTGCAAAATGGAGTGCCCAAGTCCTCATGGCATTTATGCACATACATTTGTCTGCTCTGATGCACTGCAGATCTGGTGCATCAGAGCAAATTTAATTAATCAAATCAGCTCTGCACACGAGCTGACACACCTGGTGCTGCGCCGCATGCATTTTTATAAATGACAAAATGCATATCAGCACTGAGAAAATGGCGGTGATGTGCTTTTGAACTAAAACACCTTTGATGTATTTTAGTTCAACTGTGCGCCGCCACCATTTTCTCAGTGCTGATGTACATTTCACCATTTATACAAATGTATGCACTGTGGCACCAGGCGCTTTTTAAAAGTGCCTGGTGCTGTGGCACAAGTATGAGTACAGATGCCCTTAGGGAGACAGCCTAACCTGAACACTCAAAATAAAAAATGCCTAGTTGTTTATAGTATATTGATTACATGTTTTTTCTTCATCACTGATTTTTCTAGGATCTTTAGTGTTTAAAGCTAAGTATAGACATTTGGGGAGGTTAAATTGGGCTCAAAATTGTTGCCTCATTTAAACTTAGCTCATTCCCATGCTGACCTTACAATCTCAGTGACTGGCAGTCTAAACCTTTAAATGTACAGAAGTTCCATGCACACAAACCAGTCTAAAAATTGCAGAACCCATTTTAAGATAAGCCTGGATCTATGTAGTATCAAACTTACTCAATTTAGGTCAAACCAGTGCATGGAACTTTTGTACACTTTCCTTGCACAGCCCTGGGTCTGGGAAAACCCAACCACTGGCTCCAGCCCCAGGGCTGGCCTTTTCACCTCACCCTCCTCCCATACTGAGTTATTTTTTCCCCTACTTGGCCCCTTGCTCCCCACCCAGACCAGCCATCCCTCTCAACCCCCATCCCACAAGCCACTCTGGGTGCAGGTGCTTTTATCAGCATCCTCCACTGTCAGAGCTAAGCAAGTAAGTCCCAGTGGGGGGAGTATCTGCCCCCCCATCCCACCCATGGGTTGCGCCTGCCCCCCACCTGAAGGTTGCATCTGCCCCCCTCACCCCTCATGGGTCACGCCTGTCCCCCAACCCGTGGGTCATGCCAGTGACACCTACCCCACCCATAGGTCACGCCTGCCCTCTCACCCCACCAGCAGGTCGTGCCTGCCCAACCCCTCATGGGTTGTACCTCTTCCCATCCCCCGTAGCCCCCCAACTCCACTGCTATCTCCGCATCCTGACTTATCTGATATCGGGCAGCCACTTTGAATTGATTTAACCTCCTCCTAACACCCCCAAATGTCTATACTTAGCCCAAGAGTACTGTGGTTCAGTGAAAATTATCTGAAAATAATTTTAATTTCCAAAGCAACTATAATTCCTTCATTTAGTCTCCTGTGATTGGGTGTGCATGTACATACACACTCATATATTTGAAAGGATATATCTATTTCCTTAATGAAACGCACTGTTTTGCTATTTTTAATGGTCTCAAAACATGTATATAATCCTTGGCTTTAAAAATGCAGTCAGTTTAACGAAAGGGGACATTTGGCAAATACATCTCATATTAATTTTAAAACAACAAGAAGCTGCACCCTTGAATTGCATAAACTGCTGAATGATGATGTCGCCTCAGCTGCATAACTGTTTACAGATGTTCACTAAGCGTGCAAATGCTTCTAGAGGCAGAAAGTGGGAGCAAAACCCAAGACACACAGGAAATACTAAACATCAGAGAAAAATGCTGCACATCTGCATCTCTGGTCTGATTCTTTTTTTTTCTTTTTTTTTTTTTTCACATTGCACCTTCCCATTTAGGGGAACTATAGCTTTGATCTTAGTGGTGATTTATAATTTTAGAAGAGTAGCTAATGCAAACCACCTTCATTGAAAAGAAAAAAAGGCAGGAGAGAGAATATGTAACTAAAAAGAACAAGACAGTTTGCTGTTATGAACAAAACTTAAAAGTATATTTTTGGATGTGCCTAAATAAACACTTTTAAAAGAACTACAGACATTTAAATAACACAACAACATATATTAAATAGTTTCATGTTCACCTCTGTTAAAAGACTCCTACCATTTTTTACAGGATTTGGAATCTGGTTCTGAAAGTGGAATAGATCTTGCTTCAATAAGTCACTCTCAAACAAACTTATCTCCTAATACCCATGCTGCTGACCTAGTATCACCCTGTCTAATGGCTGGCTCTGGAGCTAAACCAAAGGCTGGGGTAAGTTTGGAACAAAAATGTTACCATAAATCCTAATAATAAAACAGAATTGATAGAAAGGTATTGTGATGGGCCTCATGCTGCACTGTCCATAGCATAACATGCACTTCCATAAGGATTGCATTGATAAGTTTGTTACTATCAAAGTTTTATTTCATATCTATTGTAAAAATTATTCTGCAGTTCAAAATTCATATTAAGGCACAGATTCCTTATGCAAATGAGAGGTTTGGTGTTTAACCCAGGACTGATGATTGTAAAAACTTGTGTTTTCTTGTAAAAAGACAAAATATAACAACAAGGTTTAGCTTTGATGTATAGGATCCACAGCAGCTGTAATATCCAAATATCCTATATTGAGCCCCCCAAACTTTAGCAAAACTAAGTATTTCAATCTCAGGAGGCTAAACTTTTGCATGCCACAGGCAGTCCAAAATCCACGCCAATCTGACCTGGGGGAATGTTTCTTCCAAATACCAAATCTTGCAACTGATTTGAACTTAGGCATGCAAGAAGGACAGGTATTTAAGAATGAGGGCATCATCTTAGGGCATCATCAAGCTGAAATCCCAACTTCAGCTTTGGCCAATTTCCAATAGATATATATAGATGTGTGATTCAAGTTATGATGACATAAGTGTACACAATAGCTAGGTATATTCAGTTGAGGCTATGAGCAAAGGCAACGTGATGTAGTAACATTGTATCACCTTGTGGCAATTGGATGTTGATGTCAGAAGGGAGAAATGCATAAGGAGAAAAAAACATCTCTGAAATAATTTCTTCTGTGGCTGGATCCAGACATGCAGGCACATGTGGTATGTGGCACCGCAAACCTCTTCATGGTGTCACAAACTGCATGTGTTGCATATTAAACCATGTGCAGCAGTGCTAATTAGCAGCACTGGGACCAAATTTAGCAAATTAGCAGTACTGGGAAATCCTGGTAGCAGATAAAATTCCTGGAAAAAAAAGTGGCACAAAGCATGCCAAAATGCCATGTGCCAGGACAAATATGGAGATGGGGCAGCAGGCATCTCCCCACGCTGTGGAGTCCCATACTGAGGCACCCTGTACCTCAGCCAGCCACTCCCCAGACGGCTCGGGCACAGTGTGCTTTGACACGGGGGAGCAGGCAGCCCTGGGCTGGCTGCTCCCCCATCTCAAGGCACACTGTGCCCAGCTATCCAGGGAGCGGCTGACTGGGGTGTAGGATGCCTCAGTGCAAGGGCTCCTGCTTCCCTATCTCAAGGTACATTGCACCCTCAGCTGGGGGGTTGCTGGCTGGGGCACAGGGTGCCCCAGCATGGGGGCTTCACAGCACACAGAGATGGGGGAGCAGACAGCCTTGGGCTGCTGCTCCCTCATCTCCACATGCCGCTCCCTGGCCCCAGCCAGCCCCGGCCTGCAGCACATGGAGCAGCGAAACAATGTTTTCTTCTGCTTTTCCCACTTCAGATTCCTCACATAATCCAGCAGAGAAGTGTTGGCTTCTCTAAATCCTGTTAGGGCTGACATAAAACCAGAGACTCTGAATGATCTAACCAAGCCCATGATAACCACAGCCACCTGCTCCACATTTACCAGTAACTGGGTCAGCAGAGAACCTGGGATAAAATCTGACAACAAAAAGTGACCGTGGTACAAAGTAAAAATATTATATAGGTAAAAAAATAAATGAAATAAGCACACTGTCATATATGGTAATAGCAAGTTAACTAATGGTCCTTCGTTATTGCAATAACACAGGTTCCAATAAACATTTACATTTAGGATTGTGCACTTGTATAAAAATAAATTTCCTTATAATTTATCAACGGAACCAGTGAATAGCTACAGAAAAATAGAAGGGTCTGCACTTTGTCAGTAATTGCAGTAAGCACAGCATGAATTCTCAAATAAGTACAGAGTTAGGAAGTGAATGTCTCATTGCACAGAGAAGTCGACAGAGCAAAGATACTCAAAGGTAATAAACAGGACTTTTTTGTTGTTTTCATTTAGGTTTTAGTACTAATAATTTGGGAACTTTGGACAGCCAGCTTTAGCCCACTGTTGTGCTGTTGGATAGACTTCATTGGAACTAGATTAATGACAATTCACCATTTGACTGTTCACCATTTTATAGCATTTGTTCTTTGATTTGGCTTTGTGTTCATAGTAGATATACCTGAATAGGGGTTTTTGTGGTGTATTGTTGTGTAATAGCTTTATTTCCTGTGCTGTGGAGTACTGCTAAGTATTTCAATATGCATCGTATATTACATATTTATACTATCCTGCTGTGTGCCATGTAATACACTTACAGAGCTGCGGCAGTTGCTCCATAATAAAGGCTGATCTTATAACTCTATTTATTTGTTTATTAAACGGATTTCAAAACCTTTCCTGAATCCCCAAATACTAAACACTTCTTCCTGAAATAGGAATGCCATGTCTTATTAAAGTAGAGATTTTGTTCTGGAAAGTTTTGTAAATTGGATCACAGCCTAATCAGAGATTATAGTGATAGTTTATGGAAAATACTCAGTGCAGGGTCGGCCCACAATTTTTTGGAGCTCCCTGCAAGATATAGTTTTGGGGCTCCCTGACACACAGAAGCCGGAGGGGGTGGGGAGTGGTGAGCAGCCGGATGTGAAGCTGGTGGCAGGGATGGGGTGGTGAGTGGCTGGACTCAGGGGGCCCCTTGGCTGCGAGCCCCCTGCAGCCACAGGTTTTGTAGATTAGGATGAGCCGGCCCTGATTCAGGGGGTGCATCTACATGAGACACTTAACAGCACAATAATATAGTCTCTCTAGTAAACTGGTGCCCCAGCAAATGCACATGTAGATGCATCCAGTAGGTACAGCATTTGGCAATTTACTTTTACTACTGCCTCATGGCAGGACATAAAGTTAAAGCTCATTTTGAGACATTTGCCCCCCATCTCACAGCCAAGCCTCTACTGATGTTAATGATTTTTTTTCTTTGAATCTGTTGGGAGATGAAATCCCTTGCCTCATATCTGTGTACAGCCCAAAACCCACTGTTCTTCTGAATTTTATATAAATGCTTTAAAAAGACTCTTCACCACTAGATGCTGTTAACAGCTTTCTTAGCTGGATGCCCCTGACTTATCCTGCACAGAAAAAATGTAGAACCAAGTGTATATGCTCCAAAGGAACAGTTTGGCACTGGTAGCTAGCAAAATCAGCTGTATGAAACTACCCAAAATAGTTACTAGAGATGTCTGTGTGCAGATGTTCTCCCCTCAGTGAATTCTCCTCTAAATTCACTAGTGATATCCCTCCCACCCAACTATTCTATCTATGTTGGGGAATGATGTCACAGTTTGTTTTTCTATAGCATCTGGCTTAGAATAGTTTTATTTTGTATTTCATTTCCTGCCATGGAACTATTTTTAATGGGGACCATTTCAAAGATTTAATTTCCTTTTTGGTATTTTTCTATTGTATCGCCCTAATAATTCCAGGTGTTTATTTTTAGCAGGAACTTCTTTTGGGTTTTAGTTATTAATAACATGTAAATAAAAGTTAAGCTACACTTAGTTATTTTAAGAAATGGCTAAAAATATGACCCCCACACACATTTTATAATGGTTTATAAAATTAAAGTATACCTAAAATATTTAATTATATGGTAAATCTTGCTTTGTCTCTAAAACAAGGGGTACCAATAGATATAACCACAGTATATGTTGGAACTAGGGGTTCAGTGGCAGATATGCCACATCAGATTTTATGATCATTTTAATAATGAACACATTCTACTCTTTGATCCATTTACAATACTCTTCTATCAACAAAAGCAAGCTGTACAACAAAACAGTGCAGCTAAGGAGAGGAAAAAAGGCCCAGTGATAAAGGCTTTCAAAAACCCCATTCAAGTCTGCTCTCCCAAACAGTTTGAGCGTTAGCGTAAGAATATTGTTGTCCCTCCATGATGGGCTGGCAAGTGCTATGATATCCTGGATCAGGGCCTCAGCACTTTATATATGAGTATGGATTTTGGAAAAGGTTCCATTACCAGTGGAGTGACATTTGCACTAAGTCAATGGTATGAGAATTAATAAGGATTTCAGACTTAAGAAAAGTCTAGGTAGAATGTAATTCACTTAAGCAAAAATTACTGGGTAAGATCCTATTGTCTAAACCATATGCGACTTAAATGATACCTTGGGCTGTATACTATATTTACTCAAGTCCAAAATGAGGTTCCCCCCACCCTCCATTCAACATGGCAGGGGGGTCCTCATCTTGGATTTGAGTGCAAGGCATAGGGCAGGTGGCTGCAGCAGCTCTGACTCTGGCTCCATGCCCAGATTGGAGCCAGCGTCAGAGTTACAGCAGCTGCTTGCTCTCTCCCCATCTGCCCCCTACTGCCAGCTTCTGCCCCCTCTCCCTCCCACCTCCCCCAACTTTTTTCTGTCAGGCATAGCTCTTGCTCTGGTTCTGGCTCCATTCCCCACCAGGCGTGGAGCATATGCAACCTCCAGCCCCTGCCCAGTCATATGCAGCAGCAGTAACAGCTGCTCTAGCCCTAGGATGCTGCTGCATGTCTACACAGGGACCAGAGCTTGCATGTGCTCCATGCCTAAGAGGAAACAGAGCCAGAGCTGGAGCCATGCCTAACTGTAAGCAGCAGTGGGGAAGGGAAAGGGGCAGAGGCTGCTGCAGGGGAGGTGGCAGAGGTTGTGGGAAGTGGGGTGGAGCAGAGACTGGAAGGGGCAGGCAGCAAGTGAGAACAAGTGGTAGGGGAACAAGTAGTAGGGGCCACCTGCTCCAATGCTGCTGCTTTCCCCACTGTAACAGTCATGAGGACGAATGTAAGATGACCCTCCAATAGTACCACATGAAAAATTATAACAAATCTATTATTTTTCCACTTATCCAATGTAATTATTAGGGGGTTATCTTAAAGTTGATGTTATCTTGGATTTGAATAAATATGGTACATTGGGGTGATTTTTATCCTAGGCTGTTGATTGATTATGGTTGCATCC